AACTAAAAAGCAAGAACAGTTTGTCAGTTTAAAGGACCGAGTTGAGTTAAGCTTAGTACTAAGTTCAAGTAAGAATGTGTTTATTGTACACCGGTAAATGTGTGTGCCCGTGCATGTTTCTGTGTCTGCGGTATTGTGTTTGTTGACTTGTGAAGCCCTCTGAGATAAATAGGATTTGTGATTTTGGGCTATATAAATAAACTTCAATTGAATTGAATTTAAATCATTCATAAATACATATCCATACATTTTCTGCAAACACACGTGTTGTCAAACATCCAGATCTAAAGCCTGCCGTTTCAAGATGAGCAGCAACAGGTGCCGTCATTCAAAGCCCAGTCTGGAAAACACATGTGGAGCACATTTAGATTAAATTAGATGAATACATTTTTCCCACAAATGATTCTTTATGCAAAAACAAATTGCACATACATTAAAAATATAATGTAAAATGTAACACAAACAGTAAATATACATATTGACAGTAAAAAGAAAAATATATAGTTTTTATCAAGTATCTATATCAGGGGTGTCAAACTCAAGGCCCTGGGGGCCAAATCCGGCCCGTGACTTCATTTTCTGTGGCCCCACAAGAGCTTGCAAAGAATATAATATGTTTGTTATACGGTTACATGCCGATTTACAGAAGCACGTTGCCCATAAACTACATGTCCCACAATGCATCTCAAATTTGACTTTTTTCTCAGAATTTGACTTTTTTTCTTCTAAATATGACTTTTTTCTTAGAATTTGACTTTTTTTAAATGTCACATGACTTTTTTTAAATGTCACATGACTTTTTTTCCAGAATGTAGCTTTTCTTTTAAAATCATATTTTTCCATTCTCACTGAAGAGACTTGCAATTATTGGCCCCAGACTTCTGCTTTCAGACATAGCTAATTATTAAGTTATTACCCTATCTGATAACAATCTAATGAAGAGGCAATGATGTAATATAATACATTATTTTATATATTTATATATGTATTTTTATATAGTCTTAAAGTTACAACCGGCCCTTTGAGTTTAGCCCTAATGCTGATGTGGCCCGCGATTAAATTGAGTTTGACACCCCTGATCTATACACAATATAAATATAACTGTTACCCTCCAGCCTATAAAGATGAGATTAAATGACAGCAGATTTAGTTTATTAATCCCTTATTTTAACTTATTTGTGTTACAGCAGCAGTTTTTCAAGGCTTTGTACTGTACGATGTAAAAATATCATAAAATATCATAAAATAAAACATAAACAGTAAATATAAACATATCAACAATAGAGCTAAATATGGAGTATATTTAAACAACATTATATAAATGTGCAATATTGAAAATATACTGACAAAATACATACAATTATGAAACAGATTTCAAACCAATATGAATGTTTTTGAAATGTTGTCAAGTTGGTGAAGAAGGCATATTGTGTTTTTTGGCAGTTTCTGGAACAGTAGCACGTTTCTACTAATGAAAATATGTGTGTCATTGTAGCGCATCTGACGGCCACCGTATCTCTGTCATCATATCAGTAGTGAGACCAGTAAACCCCTGGAACCTTTTCATTTTGGATTGGATCATGTCCATTCTTCTCAATCAGTCATTATTGCGATTAATTTATAATATTAATTCATGTTCTGGCGGCTTGATAATAAGACGGACAGATGATGAACCATTGAGGATTACTCAGATGTGAAATATAAGTAGCTGTCCTGCTGGTAAATGGAGGGTGAAGAGGAACACTGTCCATTCTTATCATAGGGGGGGGGGCTAGGCCATCAGAAGTAAGACAGAGTGTTAAAAGAAAGAATGAAATGGACTGTGTGGCGAGATAAGTGCAGAGATGGAGCTTAGTCATCTCTTCTCCCTCATGTCATGCTCCTGGCTCTCTTTACTCCGTCTGTCTTACATTTCCAATCGTATGGTTTCCATTCTCGCTGATTTGTTTGTCTTTCATTCTTTATTGACGCTTTTGTCGTCCCCACAGTGAACTGAGAGACATGGAGAGTCATTCATAAATTACATGCAGGAACAGAATTGTAAACAAATAAGTGAGGAAGATAGTCCGTGTACCTTCCTGTCAATTGTTTTTCTTTCTTTAACAAGTTAACAGAAAAGCCAATGCAATTCTTTTTTGGTTTATTTCTTTACATTTGCAAAAGGGAAATATGTGACAAGTCTAAATGAAAGAGGAACAGGTATTAAGCTGTGTATTAAAGAGCAGTGTGTGTGTTTATGTGTGTTATTTGTCAAAATGTCTCCTTAATGCAAAGAGGCCTGTGATGTATGTCATGGTTTTACTTCCTGCCCACACTTATAGTAGACAAATAAGGCTTATCGTTAGGAAGAAAAACGAGGTGTGTGTGTGTGTGTGTGTGTGTGTGTGTGTGTGTGTGTGTGTGTGTGTGTGTGTGTGTGTGTGTGTGTGTGTGTGTGTGTGTGTGTGTGTGTGTGTGTGTGTGTGTGTGTGTGTGTGTGTGTGTGTGTGTGTGTGTGTGTGTGTGTGTGTGTGTGTGTGTGTGTGTGTGTGTGTGTGTGTGTGTGTGTGTGTGTCATGCTTCTTGACAGCTCGAGCAGCTTCTGGCCTTTTGGCTGACCGCCGCAATCTGACCTCACTGGCAGTTAATCAAAGTCATATAAGCTACCATTCATCATCATGGATTTACACACACAAACACACACACACGTGCAAACGCACACACACATTATTATGTACATGGATTACATCTGTACAATCCTACACATGCACACACAGAGCAGCCTCAAGTGTCACATTGAGGAGACATGTTAAAGCCTACAGAACTTAAGGGTTACATGTGAGTCAGCATGTGTATGGCAAGCCATTTGAGTATTTATTCCATATCCTTGATATCAGACGGCAGCTGCCTTCACTAGTTGGCTCTTTGATTTCACTTGTTAGATATATGGTCTAGTTAGGCACTCTGCTTTACTAGTTAAATAAAACATTACACTAGTCGCTCTTTTTCAGCAACTAGTGGCACTTTAGTCCGACTGGTTACCACATATGCCTTACTAGTGACGCCAGGAGCAGCACTAGTAACGCCAAAGTCCCAACTTGTAAGCTTTTTGAAGAACTAGTCGCCCTCTGACCGTACTAGTGACTCTACATGTCTTACAAGTTAACTAGTGCGCTGCAAAAGCTCTGACATGTTAACTTTACACAAAAGAAGCAGAACTAGTTAACTAAGAGCCAACTAGTGTAGGCATCTGCCGTCTGATATCAAGGATATGGAATAAATACTCAAATGGCTTGCCATACATATGTGTGTTGGTGTCATGCTGACTCGTTGCATTCCAATTAACACACATGGATAGAGCAACATTTTACACGATAGGACAGACGACATGGGGGCAAAGAGAGAGTGAGATCATATGTACATGCACAACACCTGTATAAACACTACAGGAAATGGAAAACCTCAAAAGCAGAAAGAAGCCTCTTTGAGTTTGACACTTTGAACTTATCAAAGCACAGAGAGCGCAGCAACTCAACAGTGTATATATTTGTGCTCAACAGAAAGTAAAAGCATTGGAAATGGAACAGCATTCAACAATGGTCGTGTTGTATCAACCTGGTAAGGGTTACTTCTGTAGAAAATGGACTCAACCTCCTTACAGTGAGCCGGGCGGTTCTGGGCCGAACGCCCAGAGCAGCTTCCCATCGACAGTAAAACATTTACAGTCTTGACACCGGGGTTTTCCCATTTGTATGCTTTATATTTCTACTTTATTTCTCTCATCTTTATTCTTTTATCAGCCTGTTTCTCCTTTGTTTATGCATTGCATCCCCTATACACCTTCTCCCATTGCTTTCGTTTTTATTTCCCTCTTCTCTCCTTCTCTCGGTCTAAATGTTTTTGGAGAGCTGTTGTCTGTTGATAAATGTATTCGATTTCACTCCCTCTCTGTTTCTCTCTCTCTGCAGGAGACGACGGGTACTCTTCTTAATCAAAGTGCCTGGCCCAGAGCTAACCCAGCGCACTACAAAGTCGTATCATCATCAGCATCATCATCCATGGGAACCGATCAATAATTCAGCATGCTGCCCAGTGCATCACCAGACGCTTGGCCGCGTACAGCTGAGAGCTCTCATACATAGGAAACAGAGCTACTCACTGAAGACCAATAACAAGGATAAAATGGCAAATACAAGCCTATAATCCCCAGTAAGTGAGCAACGGTTCTAGCCCTGAGGCTTTAGGGCTCGCAGAAGTAGTGTACTTCATAGAGTGGCCTTTGAAAAGCAGACACAGTAATCAAGGGGATTTAAAGGAGCAACAGGGCAATCACAAAGGTCCTTCCCCTCGGGCACTATGGATAATATGGGAGCAAATCAAAATACTGTGGAGGGATTTATTTATCTTCTTGTTGCCATTTTGTTCCTTTTTTTAGTTCAGTGAAAAGCCTCACAATCTCCAGTTATACTTTTGCTTTTAGGAGCTGTTAAATCTGAACTTTGAACCTCAGAACAATCCAAAGTAGCATTAGCATACTCAAGTCAATCAGGATGAGCACATTTATCTCTATGTATGGGTATGTGTGCTTTATGGGCTTCACTAATCCACTTTTCTTTGGCAAAGAAAGGCAACAGAAAACTATGAGAGGTTACCTTGAAACTCCATCTGATCCGGAAAAAAAGGTTTGATCATTGCAGCTGCCAACAGTCAAGGTCTACTGCTTCTAACTTTCTCTGAGGAGGAGGAGGAGGAGGAGGAGGAGGAGGAGGAGGAGGAGGAGGAGGAGGAGGAGGAGGAGGAGGAGGAGGAGGAGGAGGAGGAGGAGGAGGAGGAGGAGGAGGAGGCTTTGTATTTTATTGAGTGCTTCTTCTGTTCTGTCCTCCTTGTCTCCAGGCAGAACCTCCTGGAGGTTATAAGGAACTCTGCTTCTTCGTCTTATGAGATGTGTTTTCAGTCAGCAGGGGGTTCTTGCCAAAGAAGCACATGTTGACCTGCACTGCTATTGAAAGAGGCATCAACAATATAGTGCTGAGCCACGAAGAGTTTCTGCAATTGACATTCTGAAGCTACAAAACACAGGGGTGAAAATCACATCCACAGGAAGGCTGACCGATCCTCTTCTTTTCAGATTTCACTCACTTTGACTGGACATCTTCTGTGTGCCTCAAGGCGGGACACCCACTGTTTCTCTCGGTGCACCCACAGAGCCACCGTGGAGAGCTGATGCAGTGATTTGCATCCTCGGGCCATATCAACCCAACTGTGAGGCAGCACTGTGACAGGTTAAAAGCACAGAGGGAGCAAAGAGCGGCCCGGAGCAGCCTCGTAAGGAAGCATCAGACGAAGGGAAGCGGGGCAGTTTACGACTGACATCACACATCCTTTACTCCTAAGTACGTATCAAGGGATTTCAAGCTGTTTGCCTGTTTGTGCTCACCGCCTCAGGGATGCAAGGCAGAAAAGTACCTTGTGGCCAACTTATTTTGTAAGGAGGAATTGCTAGCATAAAGCATAGCTAACCCTTCAGAGAGTGCTAGATTTCTTTTGTCAGGTGCATATGCCACAGTAGCTAAATTGTATCACATAAATAGTCCGTCAACTGAAAAGGCACGACCCTAACGTGGAGACATATCACTTGGGTGGAGAGGAAGCACTTGGTCCTTAATGTGCCCGAACTATGAAGAGTCTCCTTCTGGTAAGCATGGCTCCTGACGTTTGGCACTGATGAAATGTGGCAGCAATATACGTTTAAGAGGGAGAGAATCAAGTGCTTGAAAGAGTGAATTCAGCACGTCATTTTCGGAAAGAAAAAACAAACAAATTGTCAGGGATTTTACAATCACTGTGAGAGTTTATCCACTGAGCTGCCCTAACCGACTCACTGCTTTGTGTTCTGCAACTTCAAGTGGAAAAATATCCTTTTAATCGAAGTGCTATAACAGGGTGTCCGCGGGGTCTTAAAAAGTATCAAAAGTTGATAAATCAATTTAGCGAAAATGAAGGCTATTAAAAAGTATTAAACGGCATTTTCCAAGGTTTTACATTTTGTAGCTTGTTTTCAATAAGTATATAAATGGTCCAAAGAGGTTGTATTCTACAGTCTGCCTGAATGTAATCATTGCGTAGGTGTGTAGTGTGATTCTGTGTAGTTTATTGATGGCATCCCGTTGGATTTGACGTCATCTGAACAGGACATCGAACGCTCACTGCTTGATAGCGCGAAGGTCCGTTTACGCCGGTTGTTAAACAACATCGTTATGGGGAAATGCAAGTCTGCGTCCAAATGGTTGGAAGATAAGGAGGAAGGACAATCAATACTGTATATAGTCAATGTGAGTAAGTGTTGCCAATGTAACCGGTTAGAACTCCAAGTGGCGATGAGGTCTTAAAATGTGTGGAAAGGGTCTTAAAAGGTATTGCATTTGACTTCAGAATTCGTGCATATACCCTGTATAAAGATGGTTGGATGTCTCTCCCATTTTGTGTCATACTTTTATCTGATGTTGGGTGGGAGGGTGTTGTCAACCCTTCGTAGTTAAAGAGAATGGCAAAAACACAAAGCTACGCACTTGTGTTTGACCAAAATGCAGTCACAAGGATTACAAACAGCTCTTACTAAAATATTTTCAAATAAATAATTTGGAATTTTTCATTTTCAAGTGTCATCGGGATGATTGGGATCATACTGCCCCCCACAGGCTGGGGAGGAAGCAACATGTGAGAAAAGAAAAGTACTTTTAAAATCTTTTGGGTATGATGCAGAGGTACTTTTCAAGTACATGGACTGTCCTTCAACTCTTTCTTTGCTGCGCCTTACTGTCTGTGTCTCAAACACATGCCCATAAAACACACACACACACACACACACACACACACACACACACAGGCAGAATTGCTGTGCAACACACATAGTCATACACAAAAAAAACTCACACACGAGGAGACACAGTCACACTAAACTCTCAATCCCGCAGGGACTCAAACCTCTGATATGATAAATGGAGTATGTGTTCCTATTCAACGTGACAAGCACAAGGATACACACACACCCCCTCACAGCTGGACAGCGAGGAAAGTGTCAGGGGAGCTAATTACGAACAAGAATGACAAAGAGTGTGAGGTGTAACATGAGGGTGAGGGAAGGGACAACGCAGAAGTGGAAGAAGTCAAAGGATGAATACAAAGGAGATGCTTCTCGGAGGAGATGCCTTCAAAAGTTAACTTTTATACTGTAAATGGGATGTCCATCACCTATTAGGAGGTTAGCCAGTCTGCTGTATAGTGGTACAATAGGGGTAAATACATGTATGTGGTGCCTATAGCCTGAGCCCCATGATATGATAGGATTCAATACGATACCATACAAGACAATATGATTCGATCTGATACAAGATGACACAATACGATACAAGACGATGTGATACAACACGATGATACACGATACAATACAATGCAACACCATACAAGACGTTACAATACGATACAATGCAAGATTACAAGACAAGATAAAATGCCATACAGTACGATCCAATACAATAATACTTTACTTTCAAATCAAGTACGACATTTTTCTTGCGTTACAACAGCTCCATTTGCAAAATCAACAAGAACAAATATAAGGACATGAAACAAGGAAACAGACAATTAACATGCTCTTAAAATCACTGAGGACAATATGTTCAAGACCCTTTGCTGTACATTTGACCTGGGAATTAACTTTGTAGGATTGACTGCACAAAAGGATGTTCACATGCTTGTAATGACATTGCCCAATACTTTTCCGATCCAAAGTATATTCTGTAATGTAATGCGATGTAAGCCTACTGTAGAAACACCACAGGCCTACATGCATCCATCCCATGTTTTAAAAGTATTTCCTCAGTTTTTACATAATGAATGGGACTAAAACGTGATGTAATGAATTATTTACATTGGACACAGTGGCACTTAGTCTTGTTCTCACACCGAATAATAAAAGGTAGCCTAGGAAAAACCCATAACATGATAAGAGTCGCAATTATCCTCTTTTAGAAGAATCTAACCACCACTGCGTCTAGCTAATGCAAAGCCTACATTACTGGTCCTTCTATTAATTGGAGATTAATCAGTTATCCATAAAACTTCAAACTCCAACTATGTTCCATGAAGCTCCTGTAGCTAGCAGCACTAACTCAGAATCTCGTTAAATCTAGCAGAAAATTGCCAACTTTCTTCAAGGGGGGTTGTATGCATTACACATTGTAAAGCCCCTCAAGGCCATGTATTGTTTAATATTGGATTATTTATTTAGAAAAAACACAACCTGACACTTTTAACTGGATTTAAGGAAGCGTGGTCCATAAAAACACCTGATTCTGCTTCATGGAGAGCAGATGGCTATTTTTCCTGCACCCATTGTGTATTTTTCAGAATCTGAGATGCTGTATGAGGGCTTATTTTTCCAAACAACTCAGGTGAGCCTTCCTCCCACACCACCACAGGCTCTGGTACTACTGATGCACACTTGCACACACACACACACACACACACACACACACACACACACACACACACACACACACACACACACACACACACACACACACACACAGAATCACTACCTCAAACAAATAGACTGTAATGCTGTTACCGCAGGCCCAAATATTGCCAGCTCACACAGCTGATGAAATATTCTCTGTTTACTCTCCTCCAAATGTCCTGCTAAATCCAGCGTGTGTGTGTGTGTGTGTGTGTGTGTGTGTGTGTGTGTGTGTGTGTGTGTGTGTGTGTGTGTGTGTGTGTTGTAGAGTTATATTTGTATTTATTCATGTTAGCAAACTATGGATAAGCTTAAAATGAGAATAATTTGGGTAAAACTGTGAGCTGCATTTGGGGCCTGTTGACATGTGTTTTTGAGGACAAAGGAAGATGGGGGAAGGTGAGAGCATGTCCTGATTTGCATTCAACTTAGAACGAGCTACAGTGGTTGTGATGTTAAGAGAGGTCCCTTGGGTTTCTCTGGTGGTTATCAACAGTAGCAGTTAAGTGAATACTGTTCAAACAATACCTGTGTTTGTGTTTTATATTGATTTCTCTGTTTTATCCTTTCATAAATGTAAGGACTACAAATGGCTATAAACATTCTGGGCTGGTTGGAGTAAACAGGGTTTTATGGCTCTGTGGGGGAGGTGTAGGTATGCAGGCCTTGAGACCTTTTGTTGGAAAATGAGCCTGTTTGGTTTCCTGCTGCGTTTCCTGCTGCGTTGCGTCTCCCAATGAGATGACCTGAAAAGATGACCAGCTGACCTAACACCAAACCCCTCCTTCTTACTCTGGTATATATCCGGTGGATCCCTGGCGTTCGGCCTCTTCTTCACATGCTGCCCTCGGGTGAAAGTAGCTCTGTAGTATGCGGACTAGAGCAGGAGTAAGCCGGCATTACTCCTTAAGCATTACAATATAACTGTAATATATCATGTTGTATTGTAATGATTGTATTGCATTGTCATATTGCCATTAAAGTAGATTATTGTTAACGGTTACTTTGTAGATATGGATTCCTTCCTGTATTATAACCAGCTTCATAGGAACGCGCGGAGATTTGAAAAGCGGACCAGTTATCCCTCCAAATCTCCAACAGTGTGTGTGTGTGTGTGTGTGTGTGTGTGTGTGTGTGTGTGTGTAGAGAGTGGATCCTAAAATAACACAATGTAGCGAAGGCCGCTACCTAGGGCAGAACAACATTTAGACTAACATATATAAACACAAACAAACACAAGGATGACATGATTAATACGTTATTTCGTCCTATTGGCTGTTTCCCCTGTAAATATATCAAGGACGCATAGCCTCATTGAAACCCAGGCTTGACTGATAATTTATGTTTTTCCAGAATAATACATCAAAGATACTATTTCCTTCAAGTTTAGTTCCTTTGCCAAGGACGTCAGGTCCAATCCATATCGGAGAAAGTTTCCCTTTGAACGTGCCAAAAGGTGCAGAAATATCCACCAATGTGTGTAACGTTATATCACCTGCAATCCCTTTCTATAGCATTAGTTGAGAAGAAAGTTGTCCTGTAAAGGCTACCATTACTGTAAGTATAGTATCAGTTCTATATATCTTGTCTGGCACAATGGAACCAATCAGATCATCCCTCAGACCAGCTAGTTTGTCTTGCAGACAAGCTAAAACAGGCAATCAATGTGATTGAAGGGACATGAATACATCAGGGATTCGGCCTTACTGTTCATGCCCATTTTCAGTATTGGTATCTTATACCAGGACTGGATTTTTTTTTTTTTCAGATGAAATAACTTCATACAGGAGCAAACTCCAAAGAAAACCCTTGGTTGATAGTCATGTATTAGCTGATAATATGTCTTGATGTCTGAGGACACATTTCAGTTTATGA